TAAAATTAAATTCCTTGTGAAGTTTTATTTTCCATCACCAATAAAATGTTGCAATGAAGTAAAACTGTATGTAGGGTAACTATCAAAGTTCAGACAGTACCTAAGTTTGGACACTATCATGTACGTCATTACAAAACCAAGCATTGGTGAGCTCTCCCTCAGAAACAGTTCTTTGCAGCTTGGAAGAGCTTTTTTTAAGGGTGACCTCAACATTTTTTTGTTTTATAACAATTTATTTTATGGTGTCCAAACTTAGATGGTTTTACCCTACTCTGGAATTTGTGTCTTGTGCCCAGCTATCCCAGGAGTGTGGGGGTCATTCTTGAGGATGAAGAGTGGAGATAGCATGATGTTGAAAGACATCCTTCAGAAAGTTAATTGTAGCTCTGGAGCTTTGTGAGGGGAAGCACCACCTTGCTGGGACAAGATGCTTGAATTCTTTGACTGTGCTTTCCTGGTTCTGTACTTTTGAAAAATGAAATGTCTGCAGCTTGTGACTTTGCATAACAGCAGTCACAGTGATTGTATAACCTCTTTGGTCTCCAAAAAGTACAATTGGAATTTTAATTATTTCTACCTTTTCCCACATGATAATTCTCCCATAGAATTTGATGGAGTGGTTTTATTTACCCCTCTGTATACTACCATTTGTAAACCTGCCATAAGGATATGTACTTATGCTACTCCCACTCCTCCTGAGGAGTTCATCAGTCATGTCTGAGACTCAAACTATCCTGTTATGCCTCACTTCTGAAGTTTTTAAAATAAATGATGCTTGAGGCAGCTAAGGTGCCAGACAAGCTTTTCCACCACCTAACATGATCATGTAGCAATGGTCATTATTGGGGCTGTCAGGACTCATGATGTCATTTTTTAAAACATAGATACATCAACCTGAACCATTGATGGTGCATGGTTGCATCAGCAAACCATACAAGGTATGCCAAAGAAAGTCCAAGATTTTTGACCAAAAAGTCTTTGCTCTTTCTATTGCTGTTATCATGAAACTTGTATCCTGCTTAGGCTGATATGTTTTGTATGAGACTTGTCAAATATAATTAAAAATACATCAAGCCAAAGCATAGCTATGAGCAATTATTCAAGATAGGTTGGATATTGAAAATAGACAAGAGCCCCAGCTGGTAATTGAAGGGTTGGAGAGTCTGAACACTGTGGGTACATATGAGGGGTGATCCAAAAGTTTCTGCCCTGAGGTAGGAGTAATGGTTGGAGAAGGCTGAAATTTGGTTCCCATATTCCTTCATCCTTTTTGGTAATTTCAAGGATCAGCAATTGGTTTTAGGTGTATTTATATTTTAAATAATAATTTGTATGTAAGATATGTTCCAGACAAAAACTTATTATTTCAAAATGAAAAATTTTGAATATGAAGCAGTTTTTTTAATTTGTCTTATTAAAGTATTCATCTGCTATAAATGTATTCATTCCAATAAGACAATGATATACATTTAAAGCAAAACATCCTGTAAAATGGATACAAAGGTGAAACTGACAATGATGTCAATTCACTGAAGCCATTCAAGCATTATAGTTGATCATGGAAATGGCATTTTTAAAAATAAATTGAAGCCCTGTTTCATCAATCAGATAAGTATTGATGTCCAGGGAGGTTATGCTGAAACATATAATTTATTTAAACAATCTATCACATTCTCTTATATCTCAGGATAGAAACTTTTGGATCACCTCTTGTATGTGGAGTCTGGTCATTCTGCAGGAACTAATGATGTTGCATTACTGTCATCTTATAAGTAATCATTGATGGCATTCAGTTTTCATTCTTCTGCCTTATTTGTCTTCATAGTTAACCACAGGAAGACAGCTGATTTTTGGAAGAGCTTCATCATTACCACTGCTCTCAAAGTCCTTGAGGTGGGTCTGAACTTATGTTTTTCCTTTTCATCATGACATTTCCAGTCTGTAAAATGTAGATGGTGACAGTTTGCAGGGAGTGTCTACTTGATCTGGAACAATGGTGGAGATATTGTGGTGGAACTGCCTTGGCAATGGACATTCCCCATTAGCCGATTATTGTCTGATTCTATGTCGGGTGGGGTCTCACTTTTTGCTTGGCTCATTCTCTCTCGTATCTCTGCACGATCCATTCTCTCAGTGATGGGGTTATAAATGGAGGAGCTTCACCAGAAGTTACAAGATATTTTGCTGCAGGATGACTGGACAGATCTGCAAACATTCCTCTGTGAATCCATTCTCAAGCCAGGGATGAAGAATCTGTTCCATTGTGTCTTGGATTCTGTGAGAAAAGGGGAAGAGTTGGACAAGGCTGTGGATACATGCGATTCCATTTTGGACATTCTATGGGAGTGGTTGAATGTGGGATATTGGAAGGATGTGGACCTGGTATGGCGACATGCATATTCATATGCATCATTGCTCAAGGCTCTTGCCATATTAAAATGTGCCAATGACCAAGCTGTAAGCAATGCCTTGAGGGCATGTGATATGGGAATCCTCATGGGTCAGCCCATCATGAATGAAGTGTTACCTCGATTGGCAACACTGATTTCTAATTATCTGATTGATTTTGGTGATCAGCCATTGGACTTACCAGAAGTTCGGTTAGTATGCCCAGAGTATTTAATCATTCAGGATTACACTCCTATGTGTAGAGTGACAGACCACTTGCTTCCAGTTGAATATTTACCTTCAATTGAGACATTCATTGCAAATTATGTTGATCAATCAGAGCCAGTCATAATTAAAGGAGCAGTGGACCATTGGCCAGCACTGAAGTGGGATTTGAAGCACATTTTAAAAATATGTGGCCCTCGATTGGTCCCAGTGGAGATTGGGTCTCGTTACACAGAAAATGACTGGACACAGAAGCTCATGACTGTGAAGGAATTTGCCCGGGACTATGTTCTTTGTGGGAATGGGACAGGATACCTGGCACAGCATTCACTTCTGGATCAGATTGTGGAGCTTCGTTCAGATATCTCAACACCAGACTATTGCCTAGGTGAGACTGATGTGAATGCTTGGTTTGGTGGTCCTGGGACGGTTTCACCTCTCCATTATGACCCAAGACACAACTGCTTTGTGCAGGTCCTGGGCTGGAAGTATTTCCGGCTGTACAATCCAATTTATTCAGATGCACTCTATCCCTTCTCTTCCATGCTGCTAAATAATACAAGTCAGGTTGATGTTGAGAAACCAGATTTGAGCCAATTCCTGAATTTCCAAGATGTCCCCTATTATGAATGTGTCCTGGGGCCTGGTGATCTCCTGTTTCTGCCAAGGAAGTGGTGGCATTTTGTGCGTTCCCTCTCCACCAGTTTCTCTATATCCTTCTGGTGGGACTTCCCATGATTCCTCTACATTCAGATGGAATTATTTGGGTAAAAGTATAAAGTCTTGCTTTTCTTTGGTTCTTTTTTTCATTGTCTCTAGCAAAAATTGTTCAAGCAGCACCTTAGCATGAAATTCCATGTGGCATATAGTCTTTACACTTCACAAAAGTGAAAGTTCTGCTGTCAATGATAACCTCTTAAATTGATTTTTAAGAAAAGTGCAATTTATTACTCTCTCATTCTGAACCATGTGAACAAGTATCACACTCTTATCCTTAGACAACTAGAGTATTGGATGAAAACACAATTATTAGAAAAAGAGAAGGAAAAATACTAATGTTGATTAAAATTAGGAGAAGCCAGGGGAATGTGAATCATACAAAGTTTTTTTCAAAGTTCAATACCAAAATGGTTTTGAAATAGAAAACCAAATTTAGGCATTGACTTTGGAACTGAAGTTTTAGACTAATAATTTTTTAGCTTCTAAGTATAATATGTTGTATTTTACAAGGCTGGGTAAGAGTCATAGGGTGGATTTTTTAAACAGAGAACTATCTGATAATGCTGCTTTATTTCCAGGAAATATCTTTATTTTCCCTGGAATAAAGCTGCATTATCAGATAGCTCTGTTAAATAATCCACCCAGTCATATTACCCCATCCAGGGAGTGCTTTTCTCATTTAAGGAATCATTTTTGTCTGGAGCAATCTGATTGGAACAGTTAGCATGTATCTGTGAGTTAAGCAAATATCTGGTTCATCCAAGACTTGGGTTACCTATATAAAACTCCAAATAAATTGTTCTCTTCATAATTTGTGGGCTGCTTAGAACCATATGTTGCATGAAACAGATCAACCATGTGTCTCTGGTTCTAGTGAGTTACTTTAAAAATATTTGGCCCAGTTAGTTTCTTTTCTATTGTCAATTTGACATGTCACTCAGAGGCATGACTGTCTCTATAGGGTGTTGCAAAACCTTTTGCTAGGGGGTCCCAGAAAAATGTGCCTTAGAGTCACAAGAAAATACTGAAAATATAGTATTTTGTTCATGAAATGGACTTCCTTTTGCCACATGGCCTTCACCTTCAGAAGCAAATAAAAACTAGATGCTTTGATTAATTTTACCTGACTCATATTCCCCTGGTTCCCCCCTAACACATTGAATTGAGATCATTGGATGGCTGCTTCACAATATGGTCCTGAGGGGAGAAAGGTTGCTTAAAACATAGGGGTTTTGGTCTCAAAATGGAATTTGATAAGATGGGTATCATTGTAAAGCTCTTGCCTAGAGGACTCTACACATATTTGATCTTACTTGACATGGCCCTGGAGCACTTTCTTTTCACAGTCTGGTATTTTCCCAAAGTCAAAACTCCTGGAATATTGCTGTCATGTGTTACTAACGAACCGAGGCAGTGGGCATTCTGAGCAAATCAAATCACCTGAGATTTATATTTATGTTTATATGTATTTAATTTTGTCTTTTTACCAGGATTCATTTTTTTTACAGTAGTATTCTGAGAGTTTTGTTTCTAAAGATATCAAAAGAGTGTGATGATTCCCAGGTGAAGAAGATTCTTTCATGGCCATTATTATCATGCTGATTAACCAGAGGGTCACAAATTAAATTAATTAAACACTCCTGCCCAATCCCATGGTGTCTCTCAGCTTTTGGTCCCAGTCCTTTTAGTTTAAACCATTCCACACATGGTCACCTGGTCCCATAAAAAATAATCCAAAATGAGGTGCACTTTCTTTAGGCACAGGTGAATGGGAACAGTACTGGTCATTTCATGTCCTAACTCTCATTTATGTGGATATAAATCATCCAATACTCTCCTCAATATTAGTAAAACAACTAGACCTGGCAGAAATCTTGTAAGAATCTACATAAAAATTATTCAATTAATCTAAATGCCTTTCTTTGTAGCTCTCAATACAGTGTTTTGCAAATGAATTCATACCACCTTTAACATTGTGCATGGTAACTCAATAGAGCATCCAATGTGGTGGCAGAGGAGATGCAACTATTATTTCCATTCTGGAGGGTAGATGTCTCCCTCCATCTTCATAGCACCACATCCCATCAATTGGTCAGTCTCTTGGGAGCTGTTGGACAGCAAAGATGACATCACGTGACCCATATGAAAGGATAGAAGAGTTGCAAAGACACAGGATCATCACCAAGCACCCAGTTGAGCAGATGTGCATTCTGATCTGAGCCCTGGATGTCAAATACTTGACATACCTCTAGTCTATGTTAGGATGTCTATTTGAAGATAACTATGGCTGTTGACATACTTGATTTAATTTTTTTTTTCCTATTTAGAAGAATGCCAAACAATCTGTTGGTATGATGGAATATGTGACTTTGTTCCATAGCTATCCTTTCTTGTATATGGCTTCTATATACTTCCTCCCCTCTTTGAATACTTGATTGTTTCTCTCAATATTTCCCTGGCACATTTTATCATTCCATGTCTTCCTGGACCCTCTTGTAAAACCTTTGTTATTCCAACTATCACTTTCCTCGCAAAAGACAATAATTTTTTTAATACTTTATTCTTGGCCTCTACATTCTCCAATCACTGTAATTCATTCTACATATTTTTGATGTCACGTAAGTGCCGCCATCCAGGTTGGGAGGATTCCTCCATAGGAAAGCATGGACCCTGTGTTAAAACTGGTACTAATTCATTTGCAAAACACTGTATGAACACATTCTCCAGGGTCTCACCCAACTAGTCTCAACTTCCAAGGATATGAGAGATGGAAAACAAAAGCTCAGAGTATGTGGTTTTTCCTCACTTGAAGGCACACTCCTGAAGAAAAACTTGCCAGTACCAGTTTTTTATTTCTTTCCCTTGTCCTTATCTCCCCAAACCCAGAGGGAAAAACCTTTCAGGGATTCTTCTATCTCCCCCTTTCCTAGAGTCAGAATGCATGGGGGAAAAAACCCCCTCATACATACATGGTTGGTCTGATGACCACTCCCATGTAGGGTTACCAGGTTGAAGAGACTAGAATGCAGGACATGTGAAGCTGATTGGGGGAGGGGGTCAAGACACAAAGGAGAAATTGATGACTGGAGAGGAGAGCATATTTTCCCCCCTTTTTCTTTTGAGAGTTTCTTTTTTGCTGTTTTGTGGGATGTATAACAGATAATTGAAACCATCTTGCAGAATGCAGGACAGTTGGTCACACTACTTCCATGAGACCAGCAAAATTAGGACCCAGTCCCTCTCTACTGATTAGCAACTGAGAATAATGGGAATTAAAGAAAACAGGCATCTGGCAAGAGATTTAAAAATCCCTAGTTAATTTGGGCATGTAAGCATTTGTAAATAATGGTAATTCTTTTATGAGAAATCACTGAAAATAATTAAAGTCCATTTGAACTATGATCTGGATAATTATTTTTTTAATGGAGAAATCATTGATTTGTTATGCAAGGTCTTCTCACAAATGAAGGAAAAAGGCAATCACTTCTATGCCACTCCACTTGGATAAAATTGATACTGGTGGTATTCCATGGCTATGGAGAAATTTATAATGTTGGTAACACTGAATACCTAACCCAGTCATTTTAGTATTAAATAGCCAGAGAAATGGTAATTGTACTTTTTTTCTACTTGAATTTTCGACCTGAAAAAGAACAGCAGTTCCAGGATAAATCTAATCAACAGAATTGAGATTCCAAAGGAATCCAAACTGCATCAAGTCAGAAACAGCATAAATTGCCTATTTCACTTCAACTGGCAGAAAGTAAAAATTTCTTGCTGCAACTTGAAAAGGAATTTGTCTTCTTTAACCCTTGAACTGCCAACCATTGATTTTATTGATGGTTGGCAGTTCAAGGGTTAAAGCACCAATGAAGTGGAGTTTCTGTACTAAACTATCAATAAGGTGACAGTCTAATTTTTTTGTCAAGTGAAATCTGGTTACATCAGTCCATAAAACAAGCACCATTTAGACATGCCCACTGGATACAAGCAGTAGTTCCAAGTACTTTATATATTCAAAGTTCTTGAGTTTTCCTGATAAGCAGGCCTCAACTTGACATATAATCAATAGCATTGCTGAACATGGTGTGCTGTGTTAGCACAAAAGCAGAGACACAGACTTGTAACAATTTTACTTCTGTCATTTTTACAAACTTTATTTATGGATCATCAATAAGGTTTTTTTTTTTTTATACACCTGGTTAGATGGATTTTCCTTGCTTTTCATTTTATATACAATAGTTTTTCACTTACTCTCATGCTTGTTGAGGCTAGGACATTTACATAAGCAGTTTACCTGCATCATCAGTGACTAGTCTACACTTAACCTCAGGCTTTTCATTGTTTCCATTAATTACTATGCAATTCAATATTTACATGTAGGCACCTAAATCTCCTCTCAAGCTCTTCATATTTGAATAATAATTGCATCTTGAGTTCAGCAAAGAATGCCCTTTCTGACGATACATAGTAAATCAAATTCAGTTTGGAGGCCAAAATTTAGCAAATTCCTTTCTCCATAATTTTAAAAATCACAGGACAAGATATAGGGAACAATATGGAACTGATTAGTGTGCAGTTTTTGTAGGAAGTCAACAGGGGATCTATTGATATGTTAACTCTCAGACTTGCCCCAGGTTTCATGACAAGAGGTTCACTCTTATCTGTAGATACTTCACAAGGTGTTCTCTGACTTTTAGGGAGAGAAATTTTTGCAGTTGTGGGAAAATAAACAGCATGTGATAGAAGTATTACAAACAAGATGTGGAAAAAGTGACTGGTACTATGCTAGCAAGTTTGCTAAACAATCAGATAAGTGACCAAGTGATGATTACAGTTCTGAAAATGCTCACACCCACTTTCAAAGACTACAGTGGACGGGTGCAACATCTCAAATTGCAATGGAAAATTTTCCACGTGTATTGATGCCAGATGATACTATTGCCTTTGGTGTACTATTTATGATCCTTAATTGCAGAGTGCAATTATGGGTCATAAAAAATCAGTGTAGATAGACT